ATTACAAAAAGTTATAAAAACAAACCACTTGACTTTGTTTTCCAAGTTTGAAGACCTTTCGCTTCCCATCCAGGAAGCTTTCTCAATTCAAAATGTCTGGATTAGCGTTGAGTTCCAGGCTTTTATTAATTAGCCCAACAAAAGCCTTGTAATAGTTTAGAAAACATGTACACTGAAACTGAAAAACCAGCTCCACCCCTTAAGAATGGGCGTCGTTGAGGTCGTTATTGGCCTACATTAACCGATGGTGGCCCATTCCTCTGAAAAGACAGTCGTTAAGGTTCATTGTTGGCCTGGTGAGATATTTTGTTCCCTGCATAGCGATGGGTTAAGATGCTATTGGGAAAGAATCATTTGTTTCGCTGTGTTATAGATTTTTGAGAGCTGAAACCTGAGTCCCCCCCCCCTTCTCTTAAAGGTTGGTTTTCTCTTTTAACATAAATGGCTTCCTTCACACCCCTTTCAAACCACTTCTCTTCTTTATCTACCATTCTGGTCCTCACACGAATGCCCTTTGCCCTTAAGGTGTATGTGGACAGCAGAATATAAAAATCAGAGCATTCCTCTCTGCAGTGAACTGCAGACACCGCTCTGCTCTGAGTTATTTATAGACACACAATCGGCTCATTAAAAGCTGGATTAAACAATAAAAAACTTGCAATCATGTTCCATTTCAGACATTACCCAGCTGGTTGGCATGATTAATGATGTGATTCCCCTCTGACCTTGAGGTGGATTAACTAAGTAATTGTAGCAAGAAGATAGTTAGACTATTTTACTTAACAGGTTAACAATCTATCATTGATTTGAACTATTCAGGTAACAAACCTTTCAGGACACACAAGGACATCGTAGGGACGTCTTTCTCCCCCTATCCTTTCTTTTTGTTCCTTTTTGAAAACCAGACTTTGGGGAACTGCATTTTTCCTGGATGCATGGTTTTTCCACACTGCTGCTCATCCAAACTTTTCTTGTAGATTTGTTTAATTTGTTATTGCCATGTCAAATAATGTGCGCATGGCTCTTAAGCCCTGGTAGGAGCAAACTGCTAGTGACAGACGGGGAGATCTGATGGCAAACTTTAGTTTGGAGAAATCTATTTCACTTCACTGCTAGTAAAAGTTATCTCCTCTATATTGTTATTTTCCAGGGAAGATATGTTTATTTGTTTTGTAAATTGCAGCGTTAGTAGTTATAGGGTGGCAAGAGATCCATATTTACCCCACAAACATGTCCAAATTGCAAATCTTATTTTGGAAAGCAAGCTTTTATAACCAATGCAAGTAGCCATTTGTAAACAGAGACTGCACAAGGAGAGAGGGGCTCATGCATGCTCTCGCACACTTTGATAGGTGTTCCCTCTTGGAGGCAGGTTCCAGGTTGTGCATAAGCATTTTTTTTTTTTTTTTTTGTGGAGAGGAAGGTTCCTTTCAAAAATTAGGGAAAATCTACACCTTTCATTTCACCAGAGTAAGGGTGGGTAAATACCAATCGATAAAAACAATTTCGATTTTTAGGTTAAAAAGAATATACTTGCCTGCACACTTTGTTCTGCTGACCAGTGGTGGTCCTGGTGCTCCAGTGCCCCCCTCCCCGGGGCGGGTTAGCACGACACTGATGTAGTACTCTGTGTCTGGCTCCAGGTGCCAAACCTTGTAAGTAAGCGAGTTCACCACATAAGTCTCTATCCAGGTCGACTGACTTGCATGGTATTGGATGTCTCGCCGTATGACTGGTCCATCTCCATCTATAGAGTTGATGTTGAGCTGAATGATCAGGTATGTAGACCCTGCATGCAGCAGTTGGGGGGGAGCAACCGGTGTGGGGGGGGCTGTAATAGAAAATTACATTGTTGTGAGTTTATTAAATGCTATTTCTGGTGACCTCTACAACATTCTTGCTGTTTTTATTTTTGCTTGGAATAAAAAAAGACAGTGTGCAAAGCAAGTTATGCCACTCACTGTATAGCATCTTTACTGTCTGAATATAACATCAAAACATTTTAATGACAGAACTGTGACTATGGACCCAGAAATAAACAGAAACTCCACCCTTTGACTTGTGGATTTAAATAAGGATTTTTACTTTCACATTTCATTTGCCCAGAAACAATTTTTACTTGCCCAGTATAATGTTTGATAAATATAGTTCCTAATATTCATTTTTGTATATATATCAATGAAACATGTTTGTTTTTTAAATGTTTTTTGTAATTCAGTATTTTTTAAGTTTCCAGGTTCCTGGTGTTTATATGCATGCATCAGATAATGAACTCAGATTCCTTCCTGCAGATTCTTTTCAAACTAAACTTTGCTTTAAACTGTTGTAAGCTTCGAAAAATATAAATTGTAATGTTAAAAATCTAAAAAGGAACTTGACAGGTTAAAAACTTAAGATAAATCAAAAGAAAGAAGTCAATGTCACAAATGAATAACTTTT